GGTCTATGTAGCATTGTACGCATGTTTATAAGTAGTGTGTGTGTGTGTTATATATATATATATATATATATATGTATATATATGAATGTGTTTGTTTGTTGATGCTGATATATGGTGGTCTATAACTGCCATCCAGGTTCCTGACGTTGAATGAAGCACTGGTTAATGAAATACACTGAGCGCCGCACACTATAGTGTCACAATAGTTAATAGGCTGTGAAAGTTAATTAAGTATGTATTGCATTTACATCTCGGGAAGGTTCGCATTTTTGTATACAAACTGTATAATGTGTATTAAATTACAATATCGTTTTGAATTTAGTTAATATAAGTTTTAGTACTTATTTCCTCTCTAGCATTTTAGAAAGACACGCGTTATTGCACTGAAGAAAAGTTTGTAAATATTTTACACAGTTATCACTTTTCTGCTTCGTTTATTAACATCAGTAACACAATATTCATCCCTACAGTGCTCTATGACATTCGACAAACTTGTATTTAAACCTTCGAGAAATTTAGTCAGCGTAATCCAGACAAATTTGGAAATACGTAACTGTATTTCTAAATAACTACATTATTAACGAATGAATACATTGAAATACCTTGAAGAAAGACGTGCTATGTTTTGGGAGGGCCCTCTGACTTCCAAGACAACTATCTCTTAATTTTTCTAACAGTTGTTCCAGTCAAAAAAAAAGTGTGAGGATTTTTTACAAAACCTATATTATTAGAACGAACCTCTTGTTAATGTAACTGACAAATTGAAACGCAAAAAATAACACGCGACGACATCATAAAAACTGTGTGTGTATAACAAAAAAGACATTCTCACGCATGTGATTAATGACACAGATATTACCGTATTCACCTAAACATTCTTACTTTTGGAATATCTAAAAAGTTATTTTCTGCACCAATGGCGTTTAATAACCAGATAACCTACATATTTAAAGCAAATATCAGCCGTAAATTAGCGAAGCTGTGTGCTTTGAAATAGCAAAACTCTGTTTGAACTCTTACCATTTAAGCCTTCTTAAGGCGGTAAGTCTGAGGACTTATACCACTAAAAATCTGGTTTCGATACCCGCGATGTGCAGAGCTTAAATGGCTAATTTTACAGATTTATGCTCAACAGGAAAACAAAAAAAATATTTTAATTTTTTTTATTTCCAATTTCAAACCTTTATTTTCGAATTCACAGCTTCATCCTGGAAAATGCAAACATTAAAGAACAAAACAAAAACAGTTCTGGCATCCAGTGGCTTATAACGCTAAAAATGGGTTTCAGTACTCGGATAGCTCATTGCGAAGATCTGTGTTTAACAACAAACCAACAGCTCTTTCCACACTTAACTTAGGATTAATAGAGTCAAGAATATAAAAAACAGTCAGATCACAGTGTTATGTATGCGTTAAAACTTACTGCATGAACAGTTTCTTTCGGCCATGGATAACTGCTAAACACGAAACAAGATTTTTCTGTAATGTATTTAAAAGGTTACGTCATATCCACGTGATTCCCCTTTCCTCGTTTTCTATCTTTAATGGTATTTAAATAAGTTTGAACTAAAAAAAAGCTTGTTCTGTGGAAGAAAAAAACCATTACGGGTATTCCTCATTTTGCCTAGCCAGCAAAAACAAATTTTCTTCTTTAATGAGATGTTTCTAGCATTAATTAAATATACTTTACATTGATTCCTCAGATAGTAATTATGTAAAGTGTTTAAGTTGTCTAATGATTCCGGAATTACGACATGTTAAGTTAGACGTAATGCTTTTCTTTTTTTGGTATAACGGTCACATTGTGTGGTTGAATGTTAGAAGAAAAAACAAACTATATATTTTTCATATGTGAAGTTAATATTTGGGTGATATATTGAGCTTGAATGTTTGCGTTGAAAGGTGAGTATTTATGAAATATTACTCCGAAAGAAATAATTCAATTTTTGCTTGTTTAAAATATAAGACAATGGTTAGAATTCATAAAGATTATTTGAAAAATTATCTAATTTTATATTACTTCTTAAATGTTTGGATACGTGTATAAAGAAAAACACTTAATATTTTCTTATATAAATATTTTGGAATCTTAAAAGCAAACTGTATATCATTTTATGCCAGACGGTCAATCCCACTATTCGTTGGTAAAAGAGTAGCCCAAGAGTTGGCGGTGGGTGGTGATGACTAGCTGCCTTCCCTCTAGTCTTACACTGCTAAATTAGGGACGGCTATCGCAGATAGCCCTCGTGTAGCTTTGCGCGAAATCCAAAAAACAAAACAAGCCTTCTCTGGGTGGCCCAGAGGTAAGTTTGAGGGCTTATGACGTAAGCATTCGGGTTACGATAATCGAAGCGAGCACTCAACAAACCTATTTGGGAAACGGATAATTTGTTAATCAAAGTTTTCTTATCTGAGTCACAGATTATGTTTCTTATAATGATTTTTATTGTATGAATGCTAAGTAGCTCGGTTTTCGCATATTATTTAGAGAGCTACCTTTACTCTGTTGTTGTTGTTGTTGTTGTTTTTTAAAAACTTCACAGAATGTTCGTGGCTTTCCTAAGTAGAGGAAGAAGACTGAAACGATAGAAAACAAAAATGTGGCGTCGTATATTTGCTACGATTTAGCTAACCAACTCGTATATCTTCTGCTGAACTGTGAAGCAATAAATACATTGTAGTGGGGTACTTTTTTATGAAGAAATAGCAGAAAAGAGAAAGGTGTTATAAGGTAATGTACTAAAACTAACAAGATGGATGTTATAATTCAGCAGAAACAGTAATTCCACTGTGTTGGGTCGATGTTTTGGCACAATGACTGACGGGCCGGTCTATGAATCTGTGGGTCCAAAATTTACTTCCCTTTACCGTCAAAAAGACTAGCACAGATAACCAGCCAGCCAGCCAGCACTTGAGCACCTTTGCACAAATATCTAAAAACAGATAACCAATCCACTAGGCGTATCCTAGTGGTTAATGTACAGTGACGGTAAATTTAAAAGTTCAAAGTTCGCGACTCGTTGACGTTAAAACACGCTCTGCACTTTGGGGCTGTTATAAGAGTAACGGTCGAATCCCACCATTCGGTCAGAGAATAGTAGTCCAAGAGTTGGCAGTGTGTGCTTCGATTAGCTATTTTCCCCTCTAGTGTTTCGGCTCAAAATTAGGGACGGTTATACGCAGATATCCCTTTACGCAACATATCTGAACCAAATAAATAAATAACCGTGTGTCACCAAGAGCAGCGACTATATTGTGTTTCTCCAACCGCAATGATACGACTACCTCCTTCGAAAATGTTAAGTAGTATAGTTTGACTTTATTTTTTGTATTATAACTATATAAACTTAGAAATCTTTATTTTTTTATATATAAGTACTGTCTGTTTCATCGATTGTTTTAAAACTTTCGTATAGCGATTAGATGTTAGAATGCTACAATCTGAATTGCATTCTTTTGAATTACTTCTTCTGTCCGTATCAACCTTCGGATAAAACAAATCTCTCTGCTTCTGATTACCTCCAGGGATCACAGACGGCAATAAAGCAAGTAATTAGATTGCATATACGCCGATTAATCGGAAAAACCAACCATCGACTGCCTGGAAACAAAAATATCAAAGTAGAAAACTTTCCCTTAGTCGGCACTGTTTGCAACCGCGTGCATGCAGAATTAGCTTAATGTGTAGGACCTTGATAAACTGGAGTGAACCTGAGACGACCATAGACCAATAAAAGA